CCCAGCCAGTCCCTTTGCAACACACTGAAGTGTGCTGGAAGTTATTCAGCCACCATAACTGCACATGTAGACATGCCCCGTCTGTCAAAGCAAGTCCTCATGGGAATACAAATGCCCAAGAAGTGTGGTAACCCCAAGAGACATTCTGTGTAAAGCAGCAAGAACTTCCTGGGGTGGCAAGACACCAACAAGGTCAGGTCCCAGGCCCCTGCAAGGGCAGTAGCCAGACAGTTCCTTTTATTTACAGTTAAAAAAAAATTCTTTATACAAGTTGCTGTAAATAATACTACAAAATACTACGGACTATATGCAGCAGTTCATTTGTACTGAGCCAGCTCAGGTACAAGCTACTGTGCTCATCCAGCTACTGCAAATTCTTTAGTGGCTATAAGAAGGTTAACACAGGACTCTGCATCTTCCACCTGCTGGGATTGGAGACAAGGGCCAGCCATCCTGGTAGTCATTAGAACACTGTTTGAATGCTTCTATTCCTCCCCACTTCTTTTCCAGCAAAGAAAAATCTTTCCTACTTCCACCCACTCCAATTTTGGAGGGCTGATTTCAGGGGCGGGGGGGAGAGGGAAGGTGTGCGTACTATGTGAGTGAATACAGTATAATCTCTCTCTAGTGTCTCAGTCTGATCATTTTTTTCTTAAAGCAATATTTTCCAAGTTTAAAAAAAAAGTGTTAGACTGCACTTATAGTTTCTTAATACATTTTAAAACCTCCTTAAGCAATGTTTTATACATAGTTAAAAGCAGAATTAACTTCTGTTGGATTTATCCATGTCTATTTATGCACTTAAAACAGTCAGAGACAATCATGGTACCATAATTAGGTAGATAATCACAAAAAAAGATAAATACTTTTATATATTTTGACCCAATCTAGATTGCGTATGGACATGAGTAACTTTGAAAAGCATTTAAAAATTACTTGGGTAACTTGGTGCGAGTGTTCTTGGAACTAGACGAGGTTTAAAATATCTGGGTCCCTAAAACCTCAAATTGTGTCCCTATAATTTCTTGCCCAGTACTTATAGTCTTTTATTTTACTGGTCTTCTCTTGGGAATTGTTTTTGTGTCCTATTCCCATAGCTATCTTCTCTGGTAGAAGACAATCTATGCCCACAACAGGGCCACTTGGTTTCAGAGTGGTGCTGGCTGCAAGGGTTGAACTTACTGGCTGCAAAGTATGGTGGGCATGGTATACGAACCAAGGTCAGTGCTTCTCAACCTGTTCTCCTTTGGCCTGCCCCCCCAACTTTTGCTTATGCTATTTTGGTGTCCTGGGTTCCCCAGCTCCTGATTTCTGACACTAGCTGGACTACAGGCATGGATCTTGAACTTTTACTTGGACTCTGGTTCTGAACTTCTCATGCAGTCTTGGCCCCTGATCTGGATTCTCCTCTGGCTTAGGTACTTGTGGGTACCTGTGCCCCTCAGGACTGCCTATGGCCCAATCCTTACATACTTTTCTTTTAATGCTTAGTGTACCCACTAAGGATTAAAGAAAAAAGTATCCATCTTTTTTCTGTATTGTGCATTACAGAGACAAGTTTTGCCAGAGATTCAAGGGCACAGGTAATCTATGGAAGTAGATTAGTTGCCTCCACAAAGAGGAGACAAAGGGACTCCTTACATGTTGTATTTTAATTTAAGAATTAAAAATACCATTAGAATTCAATTCTATAAATTCTAAATGTAGTTTCTTTATATGGGGTTGCTTAGCCAAAACACTAGTTTACTTGTCTTCTGCTAGTAGAAGGATCATACGCACAAACAGTAAGAATGAGAGATTTTTGGATACACTCCCTTTCTTTCCATTAAAACCAGAATTGCATACAGAAAATAGAAATGGATATAATACACATTAGATTTTTTTTTTTCAACATACTTCAGGTCACATTGCATATAAAGTACTGGAACACATGGCTCAACTCAGTAATGCCGTCATTATTTTAAATTAGATCATTGTCATTGTTTGTATTATTTTATTTATAACATTTTAAAAGTAGATGTGAGAATTGCCTAGGCAATGAGTTGAGTAATTTCAGCTATCAAAATATATTTTTATAAAGTAAATCACAGTTCTTACTGTTCTCTGGCTGTAATCCAACAAAGTTTATCAAGTTCATCTTGTTTCAAAACTTCCATTAGGGTCTCCCTAGATGAGTTCTTATAAACTGTTCCCAAGAAATTGCATAGATATGATCTTGGAGTACGAAGCATTGACCAAGTGGGTTCTACCACAGGAAAATTTCTATATCTGTAATTAAAAAGTGTATGTTAATGTTTTATGTCACTGGAAAAGTAGTGTATAGAACCTCCTCTACACATTACATTTATGCCATGATCAACGCGTATCCAATTTAAGGTGCCATAAAATGGCCAATGAGCCATAAATGTTCCACATATAATGCAGAATATTTTTATAACTTGTTTGGTGTCTTAAATTTTAATGTGTGGCCAGGGCTGACATTCAGCTGACAGTTGGTCCTGGAACCACACTGAGGTCTAGAACCAGCCCTGGTGTGGTCCCACCCCTGGAATTAACAATCAGCTGATTGTCAGCCCCATCCCAAGTCTCTGGGTAGGGGGGAGAAGCAGAAGGACTTCCCTGTTGGACTTTAAATTCCATGGCTGTTAGCTCTGGACACAGTGCCAGGAATCAGAAGCTCCCAGTTTTGGGAGCCTTGATCAGAGCTACTTCTGCCAGAAGCCTCTCAGAGCTGCTGGCTGCAGGGTTTTGACAATAAGCTGATTATCAGTCCCAGCCCAAAGCCCCATGTCCCCTAGGGCCAGAACTGACAATCAGTTAATTCTTGCTAAGCTGAACCTGAAGGTACTAGCTGTCAACTTGCTGGTGCAGGGGGAGCCCTGGACTATAATATTTGTAGTGGCAAATTGTAATGGCACAAGTGGCATCTGATCCCCAATCTCCCAAATCACACCCTCTGTCATACATGTGTAACAGGGACCTAGCAGACTGGCTTTGTACCATTTCATGCTTCTGTTGCAAACTTAGTATCTACAATCTCACTGACCAGTTCAGATCTGTAACTGTTGATGGAATATTAAAAAAAAATGGCAAAAACAAAACTCCGTCATAACATATCCTCAGTTCTCTTCATTTCTCCTTCTACCCATTCTAGAGCACTGCCAACCTGTGTACATAATGTCACTGGCACTGTACATTTTACAAAAAACACTTCTAACAACACTTTGCACTGATAACAGTAGCTATTGAAACAAACACTTGTTTTAACTGAAGTGGCTGGACCAATGTTTCCTTTGGAGTTCAAATCTTAGTTATTTGAATCACCTGAAAAGTGAACAATGCCATTAAGAACAATGCCAATGATACTCTCCAAAATGTTGGGGGGCAGAATCAACACTCTCTAAAGTTATATGCAGTTTTTACAATCCTAATTGTTAGGTTACACTGAAAGTCTGCACAGGTCCCCAGACTCCACCCAGAGTGGAGGGAGCCCTGTGAAGTCCAGCACCGGGCTTCCCCCATGGGAGCTGCAGGCATGTGGTGCAGAGCCCCCATGTTAGAGGCAGCTGCGCTCCTCCCCCCACCACATGCAGTGCTGCCCAGAGCTGCACTCCGCTTGGCATCAGAGCCTGTACCAGGCACAAGCTCCCTAACCCCACCCCCCATCTGCTGTTGCTGCCAGCAGCAGGGGCTGCATGCAATGTGGGGGAGTGGGGGAGGTCCCTGCACCCCACAGACCTCACACCCTGCCCCACAAACCCCACTAACCTATACACATCCAAAATATCCTATGCCCACACACACCCTACAGCTCCCCCACACAATATGAGTGAGACTTTATTTTTGAGTTATTATGCAATCTTTTTCTATACACACTACAGGAACACAAATCATGACAAGCATATTTTGTAATAAAATTAAAATATGCTATAGTAGGCATTTGACTTCTAGTGTATGATTTTTTTTTCTGGTTCTAAGATGGCAACCCCCCTTCCAAAAAAGGTATTTCTGGGAGAGGGACTACTGGTGGCAAAGGTCAGGGGTAAGGGGGCAGGACTTCTGGTCCCAATGTGGCAATTAGTGGGCAGGCAATTGTCAAGGGGTGGGGCTACCTATGTGGTCCCCAACAGCTCGCCAAAACTTGTTAAGCAGTCCTCTGCCCAAAATAATTGCCCGCCCCTGTGCTATAGTTTAGCAGAGTGTTCATGTGCTAGGTTTATGAACTGTTTTGGACTAGAAAAATCATACAAGGTGACTTACAACAGTATTACAATTTTTTGGCTAGTCCTTCCACAAATGCAACTGTGGGAAGCTAGTAATATATTTTTTTTAAATACTTCTTTAATTTGAATAGAGGTCAACCTATATGACACATTTGACCCTGAATAATTATAAGTAACACTTCTTTAAAAGTTCTTATTTCTTAAAGCATTAACTCCTGAATTACTTTTTTACCCTGGAGATTTCTAAAGTTTTATGGAGAAACCTAAAATCCACAACATGAACTAAACATCCAACTTATGCATAATAATCACGTTTTGAATACTAATTTGTGTTTAATACTTACGTAGCCACTCCTAAAGGCCACTGAAAAATGTTGTCTTTGTTTACCCAGGGAGAATCATATATTATAAAAAGTAGCTCTACAAATCCCCCATGTCCTTTTAGGTACGGTTGTATCCATTCATTATTGCACTGTTCGTTTCCAAGCAGCAGGACAGCAACATGCTGCAGCTTGTGAGTTTGAATTAAAGTTTGTGCATAATGTAACCACTGTGTGGCATAAGTTATCTTTGCTTCTTCTCTTCCATTCAGAACTAGAACCACATTGTCAGCTTCTACTGAGAAATATCCAGGAACTACAGCTGGACCAGTGATGAAACTGAAAAAGATACATTACCAGCCTTTAAAATGTATGTTTAAGGCATTCTGCATATTCTGTTTATTGCACCATGTATTATCTGCCTGTACTGCTTACAGATATTGCGTCTTCACTAAAATTAACATGATATACTGCAATTTAACTTTCCTGTTATGAAAAATTTCAGATGTTTTGAGTCTAAAATTATAATTTACCTCTTAAACAGTTTCCTTCTGCCTTTTACTCTGAAAAAGTAAGTGTTTAAATTAAAGTTTAGTTGCAGACAATATTTTGTATGGAAATCAGAACCAATCCCATATTAAAATACTAAGTTTTGAGAACCTCAATAAACCTCTCTAAAAACAGAAGATATTTCCAAAAAAAACCCCTAGGATGTGATTTATCAGCTGTGAAACAATCAACCTTTTTGTTTTTTAAAAAAATAGTATGATAACTGAATAAGGAAGTGGCCCGGAAAAACTGACTCCTATATGAAAGGAAGGCTGTCTAACAGACCAGGCACCAGCCTCAGATCTCAGCAGTCAACCTCTGCTTTATCATAGACTTCCTGTGTGACCTTGGAGAAATGAATTAAGATAAAAGGAATCATGCACCTGGTCCCCTGATTCCACAGACTAGACTTTAGCCTCTTAGCTCTTCATACAACCCATTAAGAGAGTCAGGCACTGCAGCATGGGATTACCACAGACAACACACTGAACAGCAGGGGATCCCTATCATAGCCAATATGAAATACAGTGGAGTCGTATCTTACACGGGGGTTACGTGCTGAAGTCAGCACGTAAGGCGAAAATCACGTATAATTGAAATTGCCCTTTCTGCCGCACTCCTCGCCCCTCTCGTCCTCCACTGCGTCGTCCCACCAGGGCAGCCAGCTGAGCGTGAGTGAGCTGCCACTCCCCAGCCATGCTGGCACATGCAAGAAGTACCGTGCAGCACTGCACTATGTGCCGTGCCCTGGCCGGCACCTGGCAGCCAGCCCCAGCAGCCAAGCGCGTAAAGCTGGATTTGTGTAAGTTAAATACACGTAACATGCAACTCGACTGTATGGGGGGGGGCAGGAAGAGATGCATCTAAATGTCCTATTTGTCAAGAAGGCTTATATGCTTGACTGTACTACTTGGAAGTGCCTATTGTCAGGCTGAGATTGACCCTCAAAACACTCCTTGAGTTAAATGCTCAAGTCATCCCTTTTGAAACAGACAACTGACTTACATAATAGCCAAGTCATTAGAACACAAGAAGTAGCATGATTTTGTAGCACAGCAGTTAAGGCATTCATGTGAAAGAGAGGCCCTGGATTTTGATCACTGCTGCCAGGATTGTATGCATTTTATCCAATGAATGCAAACAGCTTTGGGTGCAGTGATTGGAATTCAGGGCTTATCCTACCAGGTGAATGCTCTAACCACTAGATCCAGGATTTTTTCTGTAGTGTCACAGCTTCAGTAGAAAGGTAAAGAAGTGTTCCCACATCAAAGAGCTATAGATTAGTTAGGTTAGGGCACTCTCCTGGCATATAGGATATGTGGTGGAGAAAAGAGAAACTAGGTCTGTACTTCCCAGATAGACTGAGGATTAGAATTCCTATTACACTGGCGCTTCCTCTTCCACTGGTCATAGCCATTCAGGGATTTATAGTGAGGAATACTTAGTCTGAGGGTCCCAAATAGGCTTAGACATAATGGGACAATGCATGCATATTCAGTTCAATGTGCATACACAGATTTGCAAAGCACACACAGCTTCAGTCCTTTAGAAAGCAAGCAGGAGTTTATGTTCCATACATTCCTATGTGTGAATTAGAACTGTAATGGTATATTCCTCTAAAAACTAAATGTATGCCTTTTTATGTTTAAAATTTTTATTTTAAAATTTATGTTTGAAAAGCTCTAAAAACATTAACCTGTTCATCTGACATTCTTTGTAGTAAACACTGCATGTGCTGTTATGCCACTTTATTCTGTACTAAAAGTATATTCTGATTTTATTTACATGTCCATTTTAAGTGATAGTTAGACATGTTCAAGGTTTTAGATTAAAAAAATGTTTAAACATGCCCGTACAAAAGTGCAGAGTATTCTAACAATGGCTACATACATGCATTTAAATGATCGGTGAGAATTCTCCCAGGTTTGTTTTCCTGGAAGAAAAACTTACCCAAAGAAACCTTAACAGACATTCAACTGCTGAGTCCCTGAGGAACAGAGACCGTACAATGCTGAAGCTCTATAGCCAGAAGGCCCCAGTGCACACATCTCAGCCTGCTCTGCAGGTTCCCTCAGTCTGCCTTGAGACAGACAGCAGCAGTCCACTGATCTGCCCTGACTGGCTGACCCAGACTGCTTGGGGTCAGCCTGTCTCCCCTATAGCACATATGGGAATTGTGAAAGGGGCATGTTTTGCTCCCTGCTGAGCTGGAGCAGTAGAGTCTAGCAAGTGACGTGCCGTCTCCATGGAGGTGGAAAGAGGTCAAAGGACCTACCATGCTGGAGAACTGTGCTGTAGCTTCTCTTAGAAGAGGATGAATGCAGGTATTTCGTTTTCCCAGTAGAAACTCTCTAGGGAGTGATTTAGCCAGGGCTGTTGCCAGGTTAATTTTCTCCCAGAACGACCATTTTTGCTTTGGGAGAAAAATCCTGAACATCTGTAAAATTATGGTTTCTACTGGGAGAACAGTGATTCTCCCAGGAGAAACAATGTCTGTACGTGGCCAAAAACTAGACTTAGAGTAACAAACATGCACCATCATACATATTAACATGCAAAATAAATTAACTCTGCCACCGTTCTGTCTCAACTAATCAATGTCAACCAAATCACACCCAAGGACCTATCCCCAAATATTTAGAAAGTGTGGCAAGTTGTTGAGTCTGATTTCAGATTTCAAAACAGAACAAAACAGATAATCACAGATAAACTGAATTTCTTCTTTTCTATATTTGGTACAATATGTAATATACAATCTATCCAAGTTTCATTTTTTGCTGTACTGGTACTAATTATGTTAACCACCATATTTTGGAAATATCAGATGTGTGAATAGGCTTTCGGTTACAACTAAGAATCTGTCGAGTCTATTTCTCTAAAACAGTGGTGCTTAACTTCTGGCCTTGCAGAGCCATGTCATCTAGCATGTGTGGCTCCCAATAAGTCCAAAATTTGGTGGTGGGACAGCAGTAGCATTAATTGGTCCTAAAGCTGTGGCAACACTGGCACTGTTCCACACTGCCAAATTGCCAGATATGTAATGAGTCCCATGGACCAGTGACACAGCTCTGCTCACCAGATCATATTGGCATAAAGCGTTGCACCAAGTATGCTGTATCCAGCCATAACAGAACCTAGTGTACTAGTGTAACCCTTGCACCAACCCTTACACGCTAACCCTGAGCTGGATCAGGCATACAGACTGACCCCATGTACAGATTCCATGCCACTCATCCAGCCCACAGGGCCAGAGAGGTTGAGCAACACTGCTCTGAAGTAATTCAGTTACACCCAGAAGATATTTAAATACTTAAAAAAAAATTATCTTCCTTAAAGACAAACATTCTGACACCATGCAAATGTATTATTCACCAGATCCATTAGGAAGAAACTGTCTTGAACCAGTCAAGATTCTGATAAGCCATCCATAAATGTAGCAAAAAGTTTCTAAATAATTAAAGCCAGGTTTGGAAAATATCCAATTGTTTACTACAAGTAGGATCCTTTTCAGGAGGAATTTTTGTAAATTCTAGGCTTTATTAACAAAAATATTCTGAAAAGATAACCTTCCAAACGTGCCACTCAGTTCAAAGATAAAGGATATAGTGCTATCTGCTTTGCTCTGCAGATGGACAATTCCAGTATTACTAGACAAAGCTTTGCAAAACCAGGCCCTACCTTTGCGCAGAGCATTCTTTTATGTAAGCATTTTCTCTCTCTTCAGTCATACAAAAGGCAGTTTGAGTACTAAAAAGGTAACAAATTGTTTGTTGAAGTCATTTCCTTTCCTTTTAAATCAGTCCTAAAAGACAAAGGGTCAGCCTTTCCAAACTGACTACTCGACAAAAAGTACCAGAGTGGGTTAGATAAGTCAAACTTAAATGGGCTGTAATTTTGAAAAAATAATGTTATGTAATGCCACTTCTGTAGCAGAAAATGCCATGCTCACAATACATCCATTTACCCTGTTCTGTCTGGTTCTAACAATTCCAAAGAGTGGGTTAAGACAAGTACAATAACAGTGTGAAAATACAAATTCTAAAAAGAGCTTTATTTAAAAAAAAAAAAGTTGTAAAATGGCAAAAATGTCTCAAGTCATTTCACTTAATTTAATAATAATAATATCCTACAAAAGAGCAAAATACACCCTTAGTTTGATATTACCTTAACTTTATATATGCTTAATATAAATCAATAATGTTCTAGACTAAGAGCACCATTTTATTTTATTGTATAAACTCTACTTAATAACTAGAAATTAGTTCCAAAGTAGAACAGGAACACTGGAAAACAAAATTTATATGTGGAAATAAACCACTGTGATTCAAGTTCTGTTGCTATCTACACACCAGGAATTCAGGGTAAAGTTTTCAGACAGCAAAAACTGGTATAATGGTAAATAAACTTAGTCTAGGGCAATTCTACAGACAAGATGTTTGCTGTTGCCTCTGCTTTACCTGTGGCAGGTTAGGGTGTTATGTGTGGTTATGTCAGAGTTGACTGTGTACTTTTACTGTGCAGGTTAGACAATGGATTTATATAGGATGGTTTGGATAGATATAACCTCACATTTAGCAGACAGTTGAACCAGATAACTGCTGAAGATCTCTTCTAGCCCTACTTTTCTGTGGTTCTAGGCATAGTAAGTTGGACTTATTTAAATGACACATTTAAAAAAACCCCCAAAACAACAAATTCAGTCATAAATGTAGGAATAGAGAATCTATATCACACTTATAGAATGTGGATCTAGGTCTGTTTGGAAAGCCGTGCCTCTGAAAGAGATACAGGCTGCTTGCAGACCTTAAAAAAACAAACCAACAAAATAACTAAAAACAAACAAACCTGCACATTACCAGAAGCAGCAGCATGTTACTTTGACCCAGCTCTACAGCATCTGTATAGATTGTGTGATTTCATGGGGCTTTTAGCTAAAGCTGATTCAATCAGCTATTTACATAAAAGCACCATAAAAGCCCCACTAAAGTGTCCAACCTATATAGAGACTGGGTAAGCCAGGTCCAACTAACCAACTGCCTCTTATGGGCATATCATAGAATTATAGAACCAGAGAACTAGAAGGGACCTGTAAGATTGTCAAGTCTGGTCCTCTGCCGTGGGCAGGACGTTACTCAGCTCAAACAAGGTCGATAAGGTACCTCAGCTTGAACACCTCCAAGCAGATTGACTGCACTACCTCTACTGAGAGTGTGATACAGATTCTGGTAACCCTTACAGAGAAAAAGTTTTTTCTTATGTCTAGCCTGAATTTACCCTCTATTAGTTTATACCTGTTGGTCCTCATCCTCCCTTGAGGTGCCTTCCTGAAGAGTTGCTCCCCTAGTTCTTAATGCTCACCCTTGACATACCTGTAGGTGGCTATCAAGCCACCTCTCAGCCTCCTCCTATTCAGAATGAACAGGCCATGCCCTTGACCATACAGGTGGCCCTTCTATGTACCCTCTTGAGCTTATCCACATCCTTCTTCAAGTGTGGTGCCCACAACTGGACACAGTACTCCAGCTGAGGCCTTGCCAACACCAAATAGGGACCAAGAGCATGCCGAGGCTTGAAGTAAAGCACCACTTTTTTTATGGTCTGTAAGCAGCCATAAGGATCACAGTAGTCAACTGAATAAGAGTTCCGAGAGTGCTGCAGTGGTGTGGAGTACTAACATGAGCTCTGGAGGTGTTAGGCAAGGAATACAAAGTAGAAACATGAGGGAGGCACTACCACTGAAGGCAGCATTTTTTGGACCATTTTTGGAATGCTGTGTCCAGTTTTGGAAGACTACCCACAAGTGCAGAACAGCAACCAAACCAGGTCCCACCAGTCAAAAACCCAATTACACTGTTAAAATTATATCCAACAGGATTTATATTGTAATCTTCATAAATTACATTTGCATCAAAGTGGCATACAAAACATACTTGAAAATAAATGTTTATTACTGTTTAAACTAGATTAAAAAAAATCACTGTAATCATAAATATCATTTTTCTATCACTGGTGAGACCGCAGCTGGAGTACTGCATCCAGTGGTGGGCATTACACTTTAACAGAGACATGGACAAGCTTGAGAAAGTCCAAAGAAGAGCCACTCATATGATCAGAGTCTTAAAAGGCAAGCCATATGAAACAAGGCTGACGGATCTGGGACACTTCAGCATGAGGAAAAGTAGGCTGACAGGAGACCTGGTAGCAGCTTACCACTACACTAGGGGAGTACATCAAGGGCTCACTGAGCAACTGTTCACCAGGACACCTGAGGAGAAAACCAGGAGTAATGGTCACAGACTCCTGGAAGATCAATTCAGACTCAACATTAGGAAAAACTTCTTCAGTCAGGGTGTCCAGACTGTGTAATAAGCTCCCTCTAGAGGTAGTGCAATCACCTACCCTGGAAATCTTCAAGAGGAGACTAGACAGTCATCTTGCTGGGTTCACCCAGTTATCTTTCCTGATTGGTGCAGGGGGCTGGACCCAATGATCTTCCGAGGTCCCTTCCAGCCTTACAATCTATGAATCTATTTGTACATATGATTAGCCCTCTTAAAAATGAGTGACTGGTTAACATTCAGGTCCCTGCAGGTTTCTTCCATTAGGAGGAGAAACAGGTGATAGAGCAATTTTGGGTTAGGGAAAAATACAACTCTACGTTCTGTGTTTATTTTTTTAAATACCAACACCGAAGAAGTTCATTTAAATGAAAGTGATCATCATGTAACTGGTACCTGAAAAGTGTTTTTCCTGCCTTTATGCTTCCTTCTCTCCACTGAGCATTCATATCAGCTGGTTCAAGCAGACCTTCAAGAATATGTTGCCAGAGGTAAAGACCTACATAAATAATGAAGATACATATTAGAGTACTTGAGTGCACACATAGTGCAAAACTCAGGAGTGTTGCTTTGTGAAACCCTTTAGCATTGTGCTTGTAGCCACTGGAAAATTTGTTTTCCATAAATACCTGTTTCTTCCAGGTGACAGAGAACAAGGCATGAGTTGCTCACAGCACTATTACCTGCTCAGTATAAAACTCAGGGTAGAGATTGACCTTATAGATTAATTAAATCAGAGATGTACAAGCTCTGTTATCCGGCATCCTCTGAGAATGGGGGATGCCGGATAACAAAATATTCTGGTTAACTGAACAGCCTGAACAGGCATCCTTTCCTGTTCGGGCTACCACTTCTCTCACTGCATCCAGGGCATCACTGCCCCTCCCGCGGCATCGCTTCCCCTCCCACAGGCCCTCAGGACAGGGAGGCGAGCCCCACGCAGCCTGTTATGTCCCTGGGCCTTGGGGGCTCGGCAGCACAGGCTGCTTTACCCCAGGGCATGGGGACTCAGAGAAACCAGAAGTGCCACAGTGGGCACTTCCGGTTTCACTTTACCTTACAAGCTGGCATGCCGGGTAATAGAGCATGCCAGCTTGTAAGGTGCTGGTTAATGGAGCTTTTACTGTATAAGCTTTCTTTCTCTGCTCAATACAATTATCCATGGGTCAGCAAAGGCTGAGGACCCACCTCTAAGGAAACCCACCTGCAAAATCTTCATGAAGTCTCTCTCGCTATCTTCATGTTTAGATTTAGCAGGTTTTTTTTACCATATTGTGCCTTGTGGAACAGACTATAAACATTATAAAATTTTCATAGAATATTTATGCCAAAAAATAGATTCTAGTTATTTTTATGTTGGTGTGTATACAGTCTGAGTGCAACATATATAATGTTTTCCTTCTGTAAATAATGTTCTTTTAAACAATTAAGTAACATTATTGTACCCACTTAAAGCTTAACTGACTTGTTAAGGTTACGTGGCCTAACTAGATACATTAATCACAAGTGCTTACCTATTGCTGCTTTACCCCAGATCTGCACTCTAAGGGCTGTTGGTTCTTGCTGAGATTTCATATTTTTTAATAATTGAAGGTTAGTTTCATATCTTTGCCGGGAAGCAGTCTGTTCATTTTTTTCATCCCCTTCCCAAGGATTCCATTCTTCACTTCCCAAAGAAGAGTGCTCTATATTAAAGACAAACAAACAATTTGGTATAAACAATCATAAATAATACCAGATGTACAAAGCAAATCCTACTGTGACAAAAATGCAGTTATCATTATAATAATTGTCTAAGGCACTGCTCACATCAAAACTATTTTCAAATATACTCCCACCCAACTATACCTATGACATAGCTTGTATTTGTGCTCGAGGGCTATGTCCAGACATGCAGGGGTGTGAGCTTGCAGTGGCACAAATTGCCACAGCACATGCCCCTGCATATGCACTTCAATGTGGGACAAATTGTCCTGCAATGGTCAAACTGTCCTTGCCCATCTCTTCACAGCACTTCAGCCAGGGAGAGCTGGAGGCTGGTGCTGGCTCCAGCAGTCTTACCTGGTAGCCTGGAGCAGCAGGGCACAGGTTGGGCAGCACAAAGGCCTGGCCAGCAGCTAGAGCATTGCTCTGGACAGCCCAGCCTCCATATGTACCAGTGCATACTTGTTCCATGTGCATTTTATACCTTTTTTTTTTTTGCTACTGGGAAATCCCAATAGCAAATTTTGGCCCCTCACTGCAAATCGGCAGCACGGGACATGTTTTAACATTTGTTGTGTGCAGTTTGTGGCACCACAAACTGCATGCCCTTGCATGTCTGGATGTAGCCAAAGGGTATTAATCAACATTGGCAGAAAATTAAAGCTACGCAAGCAGCAAGAGCCTAAATCTGTAGGTCCCAGCATAACAGTGCCTTGAACACTATTGGCTACTTTGATGTTCCCATTATAAATAATAACATTTTGATTAATCCTTGGTAAATTAAATAATTCCTGCAATGAAATATTAGAAAAGCTGACCTATATTTTTCATGTTACAGTAACTAAGTTTTTCAATACGTCATACTGTATTCTGTATATAAAACTTGCCTGACCAATAAAATATGAACAATCCGTCACCAAAGTTACTGGAGCGATTAACTCACAGAAGCAAGAATGCCCAAACAAAACAAAACTCCCAAATCCTATATCTGATTTCACTGATAGCAACAGAGAGAACCACTGGCAACAAGATCTAAAATAATCAACATGACAGTTAACACAAGTGGCCCCAATGGGAGAAGGTTTAAAAATAAACTGGCACAATTGTCATATACATGCTATCAAGGAAATAAACCTTATTGACAGAAACTTCACAGTGCTATAGGAAGCAGTTGCCAAAATAAATCACCATTGTTATTAGTTCTTAGCTGCTAAAAACAGAAATGTCAAAAAGTGTCAATGTAGTTAACAGACCAAACTTTTGCCAGCCACATTCTCTTTTAATGCAACAATTCACTGAATACACTAAGATTGCTGTGTTGTAGTTATGAAGGTAAGGAGAAAATATAAGAAGAAAGATGTTTGATATCTTTTATTGGGTTTTTTTCCCTATCAATTTTTATAGTTGAGAGGAATGTTAGACAAGCCTTTTGACACAAAATGTATTCCCTTAGATCCAAAAACTTGTCTAACATTTCTCCCATGTACAGTTGGTCCAATAAAAGAGATCACCAAACAAACCTTGCTTCTTGAATACTCTGAAAAAGAGGTCAGTGACATATGGTTTGTGGAGTCATTGAATCTGGCTTCTGGAGACAAAGGGTTTTAGCCTGTACTTGTACCCCATGGGGCTACGCAGCAAACAGCCGTGCTTGGACCCAGCAGCTGGAAGCCACGCCCCTACTGCCAAGCGACTGCAGCGTGGGAAGGTAGGGAGAAGCGGCACGCACTAGTGTGGTTGCAGCTTCCAGCTGTCCAGTCTGGTACAGCTGGGAGCAGGGCAATGGAGAGATCTCTCAACTGCTGGCTCCAGTGCAAGTACAGAGAAAGCTCTCAACCCCCCCCAGCCTACATTGGACCAAAACCGTGTTGCTCCAGCTACTGTAAAACAATGGTCTCTAAGCCACAGCTCATTGGCAACATATTTCCTCTAAGACTGGGGTATCAAACTCACTTTGTGAACCCATGTTGGATTTGGATTGTGGGGCTCCATGCTAGCAGGGTTCAGCCCAAGGCATGCAGTGGCAGCAGCACCAGCCTGGGGCACAATGAGCAACTCCAGTTCCTGCTGTGTGCCCTGTGGAAGCTGCTGCTGCATGCCCTGTGCTGCAGTGGCAGCTTTAATGTTGGAATAGAGCAGAGGGCATGGGGCAGCAATGGGGCTGAGGACAAAGGAGCTAGGGCTATGGCAGTGGTGATGGGCAAAGCATCCAAAGGGTGGCCAGGATTGCATCAGACCCTCGCTCACCCTCCTGCTGCTGATAGCCATGTCCACAAAGGCCCCAGATTCTACTGTTGGCCACGCTGCCCAACTTCCTGTGATATCTGGCAGGCTGTACTGAGTGGCTTTGTGGGCCTTATCTGACCCCCCTGCTCTACAATCTTTGGCTAGCGCTGTGTCCATGGGAAATGATGCTTTCCACAGGCATGGAGGGCATGTCCTATGCCTTTCTCAGTGAGGGCATAACAACATAAGGACTGCCATTTACTTGGTCAGACCATATATCCATCTTGGCCAGTATCCTGTGTCACACACTGGCAGAGAATGAAAGGGACAGTGAACTGGGTATGACCAGTTTTCCCCCCCTCCCCACTGTTCCTCTCTCCCCTGCAGCCTCTGCAGCATTTAAGGTCTTGGAAGTTCAGATTCAGAGGCTGAACCCCTAACTGCCATGCTCCATAGCTACTGATGGCCCTTTCCTCCAAGAATCTGTCCAATCCCTTTCTGACTCTGGCTAAACAGCATCTGGTGGCCATGAGCTCCACACCTGAATTACACCCTGCATGTAAAGAACTTCCTTTTGTTAATTTTAAATTTACTGCCTCCTAGTCCCATTTTTGTGACTCCTAGTTCTTGTATCAGAAGACACAGTAAATAATAACTCTCTATTTACTTTCTCTTCACTTAGTATCTTGTAAACGCTTCTCTTATTCCTGCTCGAGCATCTCTTTTCTACACTGAATAGGCCTAGGCTTTCTGGCTTCTCCTTGTATGGACACCCCTCTATGCCACTAGTCATCCTTGCTGTCCTGCTCTGTATCTTCTCTAGTCCTTCTATAGCAGAGGTGCTCAGTGCAGGCCCTCAGTGTCACATCATCCAGTCTGCAGGACTCCCCATGGGCCAGGAAATTTGGTGGCTCTGGAAAATTGGTGGCAAGGGAGCAGTGGCACCGCTCCCCTGCTGCCAAAGCTTCAGACTCATGGGGAGCCTCAAGCCCTGTAAACTGGATCCAGCCAGAACCAGCCCTGGGTCCCAATCCAGGTTGGTGGGAAGGGGATGCAGGCCCCAGGACCCAATCCCAGCACTGCGGGGGGAGTGGGCAGTGCCAGGCCCTCAGGGCCCAATCCTGGCACATGGGGGGCAGGAGGGGGTGGTGCTGGACTACTCTGGCCATAAGGGGCCCTAAGGTCAAGCACAGCTCTTCAAGCTCCTTGCTGAGGAGCTGGGCAGTGGCGATGTGCAGGGGGTGCATGTGGACCCCTAATAGCACAGGTGTACCCCCTGACAGGCCACACTCCCACTTAGGCAATGGACAGGAGGTGCAGGTGGGAGCGCCAGTGCCCCCTGAGTGCCTGGCTGAAGTGTTGCAGACACTTCCCAGTTGGCACGACTGACTGCGGGGTCCCCTGGTCGCTCGTGGAGCTGGGTCTGACTCAGACCAAGGGTCTCGGCCTCTTGTGGGCTCGGGTCAAGGGGGGCATCCGAATGCCAGGACCTCCGGGCTTGGGCCCGGACGCAGGATCCTGCCCACGGATCTGGGAGTAACCGGAGCCCGAGGGTGAGAGCCTGGGAAGGAGCTGGCGCCCGTGTTGGCGAGGACCGGGTTTCGCTGCTCGGCCCGTGCGGGGCGAGAACCGAGTTCTGCTCAATCCATGCGATCTGGAGCGCGAAGTATACCCATAACAAAAGCGAAGGGGCACGAGGACACTCTGGGCTTGGGTCACACCATTTTCTTCTGGATAAGCCTGCCCCAGGCTGCTGCTGCACCCGCCCCCCTTCCTCCCGC